GTCAAAAGCCTTACTAAAGTCAAGATATACCACATCTACTGCTTCCCCCCAATCCACAAGGCATGTTACCTTGTCAAAGAAGGCTATCAGGTTGCTTTGACACCATTTGTTCTTGACAAATCCATGCTGACTGTTCTTTATCACCTTATTATCTTCTAGGTGTTTGCAAATTGATTGCTTAATTATTTGCTCCATTATCTTGCTTGGTATAGAAGTTAACCTGATTGGTCTGTAATTCCCTAGGTTGTCCTTATTTTCCTTTTTTATAGATGGGCACTATATTTGCCCTTTTCCAGTCTTATGGAATGTCTCCCGTCTTCCATGACTTTTCAAAGACGATTGCTAATGGCTCAGATACCTCCTCAGTCAGCTCCTTGAGTATTCTAGGATGCATTTCATCAGGCCCTGGTGATTTGAAGACATCTAACTTGTCTAAGTAATTTTTGACTTGTTCTGTCCCTATTTTAGACTCTGATCCTTCCTCATTTTCACTGGCATTCACTATGTTAGACGTCCAGTCATCACCAACTTTCTTGATGAAAACGGAAACAAAGAAGTCATTAAGCACCTTTGCCATTTTCACATTTTCTGTTATTGTCTTCCCCTCTCATTGAGTAACGGGCCTACTCTGTCTTTGGTCTTCCTCTTGCTTCTAATGTATTTGTAGAATGCCTTCTTTTTCCTTTTTATGTCCCTAGCTAGTTTGAGCTCGTTTTGTGTCTTGATTTTTCTAAATTTTGTTCCTACATACTTGTGGTGTTTGTTTATATTCATCCTCTGTAATTTGACCGAGTTTCCACTTTTTGTAGGACTCTTTTTTGAGTTTTAGATCATTGAAGATCTCCTGGTTAAGCTAGGGTGGTCTCTTGCAATACTTCCTATCTTTCCTAGTTTGCTCTTGTGCCCTTAATGTCTCTTTGAAAAACTGTCTTCAGTTGTTTTTCCCCTTAGACTTGCTTCCCATGGGATTTTACCTACCAGCTCCCTGAGCTTGCTAAAGTCTGTCTTCTTGAAATCCATTGTCTTTATTGTGCTGTTCTCCCTCCTACCATTCCTTAGAATCATGAAATCTATCATTTCATGATCACTGTCACCCAAGTTGCCTTCCACTTTCAAATTCTCAACCAGTTCCTCCTATTTGTCAAAATCAAATCTAGAACAGCCTCCTCCCTTAGTAGCTTTCTCCATTTTCTGAAATAAAAAATTGTCTCCAATACATTGTTGCTATGTTATTTTCCCAACAGATGTCTGGGTAGTTGAAGTTCCCCCATCACCACCAAGTCCCGTGTTTGGATGATTTTGTTAGTTGTTTAAAAAAAGCTTCATCCACCTCTTCTTCCTGGTTTGGTGGCCTGTAGTAGACTCCTACCGTGACATCACCCTTGTTTTTTTACCCCTTTTATCCTTACCCAGAGACTTTCAACAAGTCTGTCTCCTATTTCTATCTCAGTCCAAGGAAATACATTTTTAATATATAAGGCAACACCTCCTCCCTTTTTTTCCCGCCTGTCCTTCCTGAGCAAATTGTATCCTTCTATACCAATATTCCAGTCATGCATATTATCCCACCAAGAATCTGTGATGCCAACTATGTCATAGTTGTGTTTATTTACTAGTATTTTGAATT